TATGTTTTAGAAAAGTGTCGCAAAATTTTTCTAAGTATTTACATATAACTGTATTAAGAAACATTATAGATACAAAGATGCTTTGATTTATTGAATTCGTTAACGTAGGGATTACTGTAGAAACCTATGTTTATTTGATAAGCTGTTAAGTTAATTTGATTTTCATTTTCTCTACGAATTTGTAAGCAGACACAATAAAAATGTTGTTATCTCAATCTCCAACAGAATCCAAGAAAATGTTTCGGAAGTTCTTAGAATTCACAAACCGATACAAAATTGTACGCGGCATGCTCTCTTATGGAACGCTATGGCCTTGCGGTTGTCTTATCGAACAAACCATAATCGAAAAACGGTCATTCCGAAATTACGACTGGATGAAATGTCTCAAGTAAGTGCATACGAGTACTTATACCATATGCTGTCGCCACAGACATGCAACTAGTTATCAAATCATTGTAATCTCTCATATACTCAATTTTGTTTCCCTACAGGTTCAGTTTATTCGGTGGCCTTTTCATGGGACCCACAATTTATATGTGGATACGGCTRGCCGGCGTCATGTGGCCTCGCACAGACATTAAGTCATCACTTTGCAAAGCCATTACTGAGCAGGCGGCCTATGATCCGTTTGCGATAAGCACGTTTCTCTTTGTTATGAGCCTTCTGGATGGCCGCACGTACGAACAAGCCAAGCAGGAGGTAAGAATTGAAATCTCACCCAGATGATTCATAGGCACACACAACCAAACTGAAGGCATACCAAATTCCGTTCGTTGCTACAGTGGGTATAAGGCAAAACGGGTGTTCAGTTAAACACACATCCGCAAATGTATATGCAAGTGCACCTATAGTTCTTAAGTATATGTATCATACATATGTACTTACGTACATACATACGTTTCTTGTAGCCTCACTAATGTGACTTAAGTSTTGCTTTCTTTCATTCATATATGGATTTATTTTTTTCAAGCAACGTCAAGTTGCGTGCGTCTATCCGAAAGTTGGTTCGTTTAGGTATTTGCCGTGTAAAGCAGTGACAAGCATTTGGCACCTCGTCACATCCCCTTTGCCGGCAAAGATTAAAACACTTATTGGCTCCTTTGCTTCTAATTCGTAAACTAGGCAATCCACTTGTRCAGAGAGTCGTTCGGTCGTCGTCACACACGGTCACACCAAGTATACTTGCACGAGTCGTCCATTTACAGTTATACACGTTGTTGTCAAAGAGAGTCAAAGAGAGGCTTCATATATGTTTAGGTAATGGGAAGAGGATGATGGTGAATTGACGTATTGGAGTGATGAGGTGTATAGTTTAAACTTCGAAGACAAATGGTGTGTATATAAGTACTTATGTATACTATATATGAAAGTGTATGAGTATTCATCCTGTATTTCCTAAAAATATCAAAATAATCTTTATTTTAGCTTAGTGATTACAAAAGACAGACCGAAAAGAAAACGAGAAAGGCGTAAACTTCGGTTGCATCGAATTGTGAAGGTTAAAATTTCTTCGGAAATTACACCATTGCCGTAGGCAATAAATCATGTCAAGTTTCTTGAAATATTTGTCRAATTAAAAATTTCTCCGTTACTTCAGCTTGTATGTCGGTTATGAATTATAGTGGTCAAAGTTTCTTGAAGAAAAAAGGATGTCTGCGAAATTTCCGATTGARATCTCAAAATATGARRAACAAGTTCCTGTTGTYTGAGAAGTATCTTTCAGCAATAAATTAAGTTTCGTTTCTATTTTTTGATTTATTAAGTAAACGATACTTGAACTTGTAACCGTCTATCGGCAATCCCTTAGTCTCCTAGTGTCCCTGCTCTTCAATAATGATTTTTCACCAAGAAGAGAAGTATTGGATGGATTTMAMCTGASTTTGCTGCTTCCAGACAAAGTGTGTGCTTTGAAATCAAAAGAAATGGATTTTTTTTTACTGCTTGATAGATAGATTCAAAGGACTTTTGGACAATAACAACGTCGTGCAAACGTTTGAAGCTCAAGTCGGAAGACAACAAGTTAYCGACTACTGCATTGGAAACGTTGAACAACTGCGATATAACCTTATACCCAAAAATGCATAGTTTTCTTCGCATATTCATCGGCCTGGCGTTGCTGCATATTRGAAGGTCGATTTGAAATCTTTCCATCTGTATAAAGACTACTATATGTAATGTAATAATCTTCATGTTTCAAATAAATAAAAACAGTAAGAAACAATGACATCTTTAGGGATATTTGTTTTAAAACTACACTAGGATTAAAATATTCAATTGTTTAAAAGATAAATAACGTTCCAGTTACCTTTTTGTAATTCAGTTTCTAATATATTACTTATTCTCCCGTTGCAGGTGAGTGACAAATTCTTCGAGGCCTATCGTGTGGGCGTAATTTATTGGCCCTGTGTGCAAACAGTGAACTTTGCCTTTATACCGCCTCGCAATCAGGTTGTCTTCACGTCTTTCTTTAGCATGTGCTGGACGACGTTTCTGACATATATTAAGTATTTGCAAGGACAAGCCATAGAATTTGAGCACCCGGATATTCACATTCACTTCACACATTAGCTTAGCAAAAWAGTGGAAATTTTAGCTGTTAGCTTACAATAAAATAAAGTTGAAATATTTATTCTCCTGCTTGGATATTCAGTTTTATTAATTATTGTTGAATAGAGTTTTACGATCTCATCGGTAGAATGCAAAATGAGTTGCATTTAAACATTTGATATACTGTTGTATGTACATATAAACTAACAATGAATATCGAACAATGCAATTTCTTAGACATTACTACAGGACTTACGTACTTACATATGTATATGTATATATAAAGATTATAATGTTGAGCTCGAACTCTGCTTTTCTTTACATATAATATTTGCCTTGTCGAAAATTCTATGGAAACTTGAACAAGTGGCTTGAGGGGGTTGAATAAAGCAATCTAGAATATCCCTTTTATTCAAACATACATACCTTATAAGTAGCATTTTTCGCTTATACATACATATGTACCTACATTTATATCTTACCTCCATTTCGGCTTTGTTTTCCTTTTCAAAGTGTGTCGAAATCATTAGTAACTGAATTACGTGCAGGGATATATGGGCGAAGGCAATCAAAATAGCACTAACAATGATGAGAATTGTTTGAAGACTGATATTTCAGCTCTACCTCCAGTACAGTATCAACGCGACCTAAGAGCTAACCAAAATTAGGGGGGAGCATGCTCACGTCGGCGCGTGTTCACACTTTCTTTCGAAAATATTCAAATTTCTATTTTCATTTCGCCATCGTAAGCATGACACCATTTTCGCGTTGCTGGGTGGAGTATATGCTTTAATGCGCGCAATTATTAGATTACTTCAAGTTGAGCAAGTAATCCTGACAATCATTTTTATCTTACGRGCTATGCCAACGGTACTACCTCCACGAAGATATTAATTTTGAATTCATATTTTTGAAAATCGACTCTCCATCAGCTACATGCATTTCCTCTACTGTCACTTCTTCGTATTGTTTTCAGTTTTATTTATGAAAGTTGGGGAGAGGGTGAATATTTTACATGGGTCGTCTATGTTTGTGTATTAAGCACGAAGCTCTTACTTTASGGACGGTCAATGTGGTATGTGAGTATCACGTTTCGCTTCATCTCAATTTACACACATTGCGACGAATTTATTGCTTTTCGACGTTTTTATACCCTGATCAAGGGATTTTTAAATTTGCCACGACCCAAGTGGAAACGGAAACGCATATGACTTGTAAGGAATAGCAAAAATCATTATACGAGTATGTAATACAWGGGAAATTGTGTAATTCTTGGACCGAATTTACACATTTCGGCATGAAATTACCAAATATTATATGATCGCATAATTATTCTAAGATATCTTTTACATTGTCGAATATGGTATGAATGCTAAATGTTCTGCCATTGTCGTCTTGTGAGCGACGCAGATAGGGTGGATATCCATGGTTTCCAGTTTGCTTTTCCGAAAGAAAAGCTCGTGGGTAGTGTTTCGTGCATTTATTGTCAGACATACAAACTGAAGTCGGATTGTGGTGTCGGCAAGGTCCATGAACCATATTGGTTTTCATTACTTCGCATAATACTGGATCTTTCTCTGCATCAGGAATTTCCGCAGAAATGATWTTATCTATTTGATCTGGTTTAACCACCATCACCCATCCAAAGAAGAATATRTGCGTGCGGCAAACCTCTTTTTGCCACTTAACCGAGTACATCCAGTATTTAGCAGCACCATATGTACCATACGTTGCGTCAAGATAAAGTCCACCAAACATCGTAGCTGTTGTGCTGATTGACCGCAATCCATAATTCCACACGTAYGTCGACGCAACCTGGGAGTACTCGTTCATGTGGCTTGGGCTGCCATAAGTTGATGGCAAAAAGAACGGCAACCGATATTAGCGCGACTTGGCTTCATAACAAATTTCAATCTGTAATTAATCACTTTGTGTGAAACACACATAAAGTTTTAATAACACACATAAGTTTAATAATTTGCAAATCAAAATATTGAAAAACAAAACAAACAAAATTTGAAAAAAAAAAATTGCATGGAAAAAATTTACTTTTTAAAATTTAATTTCCTCATGAATAATATAAGGTATTTTTTTTTTTTTTAACCTTCCACAACGAACAACCTCTGAAAATTTCATCAAGATTGGTGCAGACGTTCTCTTAGCGTTACTAACAAACAAACATTCATTCGTTTGTATGGGAAAACCAATGGGTTTTTAGGGATTTTCCGTCAATTATTCGAATCGTGAAAACCATCTTTGAACTTCAACGAACATTAAAAAAAAGGAATTGGCCAAATTGGTTTAGGCGTTGTTGAGTTATGCGCTTAGCAACACAATTTGCGATTCGTTTTTAAAAATGTATAAGATAATACGAATTTATGGTCCGATGTTGACAATTTGTATACCTCATCGTTGCATATTTTTATCTTGATAGCTTTACTGCAAATTTAAAATTCTTATAAGTGGGCAGTAGGCATGGTTGTAGTGCAATTTAACCTGTTATCACARTGTAACATAACCACTGCAGAATAGTATTAAGCATGGTTTAAATTGGTCAAGCATGTTTGTGTGTATCTCCTTGCCGGTACTAGATACTAGGTATACTATATAACACACATTAGTTTCTAACAGTATTATTAAGAAAGATATAGTGATTTCTGTTTGTTGGATTTTGGACTTCCTGCAGTTAACCTATCAGCAATCTTTTTTTACCTGCACTAATTTGCTCTTAAATTATATTCAAATTGCAATATTCCACATACGGGCGATACATGTTTATGTACGCATGCAATTACAAGTTCGTCACACTTCCTTTCCACATTTATCGCTTATGTATGTATATTACCACTTTGTTGACGCACAAGTCGAGGGTTGATTTAATGAGACGTCGATCAGCTACCGTGTACGCAATTCACCCGATTAATCCAGAGAAGGCGCTTTGGTACTCTACCGCCTCTTGCATCGCCACTGGTGGGGTTATTTACCATGCCGCCGTACAGACATACCTGCAACTAAATTTAATGATCTACAATGTTTTCACATATCATGCCCGCTTCACCTTCCCTCAACCATATAAAATTATGATGGGCTGTCGCCGTATAATAGTGTGTATGTATAAACATGAGTATATGTGATTATGTATCAACTTGACTACTAAAAGCGCCGACAAGMGTATCTACATACATGCAAACGATCGTCCCAAAAATCTTCAACAAGGCCGCATGTTCTTCGCCGCTTCTGTCTCTTCTGTCACTTCAAGTGGAGGCCAATTGTGTAGGGTGATATCTTTTATTGCTATTGTCGTTGCCTTTGGCTTTTCGTTTAATGTCGCTTTTTAGCTTTGTTTTGATAGTGTTGTTGTTATWCTGCTTGCTATGGCAAACSTACACAGTCATACAATTCCATTCGCGTGGTTCAGGAGGTACGCAGTAGGAGTTCGCTTATTGCTGCTCCATGGATGCACTGCTGGRGTCTCGTTTGATGTTCGTCGAATGCTTGTGTTTTTTTATTGTTATTCGTCTTTAACATATTATATATGTTCAGATGTGCGTATGTGTCTGCCTTTGTTAGTTTGTTGATATTTAATTGTGTCTCCTTCGACAAAATTGCTTCATTTAATGTTCATTTGCTTTGAACTCTATGCGTGTGAAGAAGGTTTTATGGAGAATTTCAATTCCATAAGTGGTAGTTAACATTTTCAAACAACTCATTTTAGATATGCTAGTTGAGTACTGTTATACCTATATTTTATATGTACATATACATTTGTATTTTGTGTTCCGAAGATCTTCTTGTACATACATAGATATTGTTTTATGATTTTTCTTTTCACAAATTGTAGATCTAAAGAAACAGAAATCGAGCAAACACTTACAAACTATATATCAGAACCTTTTCGTGTCAAATAGGCACCCAGAAATACGAACCACAATTTAAAGCGCAGTGACTTCATTTTCAAAAGTTCTGGATTACATATGTACATACATATATTATTGAGACAAACAGAGGACGAACTATTCTAAACTCTTCAGTTTTCTTTGTTTCCAGGAATCTTGTAGTTACTAACTGGTGTAGTTTGCATACTGAAAATGTATACATACCTTTCAAAATCCGAAAATAAATCGAATGACGTCGTCAATGGTGAGCGCATTTTTGATAATTCGTGGCTTTTTCAATTTCCCGCGTCGATAACGACCACGTATGTAAGTCTTAGTGGTAGTAAAAGCACAGTTCACCCGGCCATGCCAGTCACCATCACTTTGGCTAACCGAACTGGAAATAAATCTGTAAAGTAGTCACTTAAGTTATTGTATGTAATTTGACTTCGTTACACTATTTTTGTAATTTTTTGTCAAGTCAATGTTCTTTGCAAAAAACAAAAACAGCAACCRGTGGAAAAAGAATATGGTTACGTATGAAAATGAGGTGCCTAATTTAGAAAGATGTGGTGATCATACATATATCTGAATATTAAATTTCAAACTTTTGCGAACAAACTAGAAGGATAGAACTAGTAAGGAAGGGCTAAGTTCGAGTATAACCGCAACTTGCAAGGACTAAGAATGTCAGAGGAAGGCCATATACTGAAATCGGCCGAGAGTGTCCCAAGATATGTGAGGGCGGCGTCACGCCCATTGTCCAATTTTGACCCTCACTCCTCTAAAACCTCCTCATAGATTGTCGGTGATAATTTATGTCTCTCGCAGTTTGAGTTATTAGTTTATCGCGCTTCTTCATCCATGTTCACACTGTTTGTAGGAGTTCTTATAGTGATTTAAGAGATATGTACAATAAACGTATAATAGGTCGGGGTCACACCCCGACTATCCTTAGCGGCTTATYCGTTATCTTAATTTCACTCCCATATCTTAATTTAGTGCTTAGTTATGGCACTTTATAGTGCCAAACGGCGTTTAATGACCGTTTACGCCCATCTCGTCCTCACTTGCCAAGAAGCAATTGTACCAAGTTTCATCAAGATATCTTTATTTTWACCCAATTTATCGCTAGCACGGGCGGACGGACAGACAAAAAGTCACTCGGAGATCAACTCATCTCGTCATCCTGATAATTTATATATATGTATATAACCCTAT